GTAGCAGTAGTAGCAGTAGTAGTAAGAGAAGGAGAAGGAGTAGGAGTAGGTCGTCGTCGTGACGTCGTCGTTGTAGCAGTAGTTGTAGTGGCCGTAGTGGTGGTCGTAGTGGGAGTCGAAGCAGCACCAGCAGCAGCTGCAGGCGCAGAAAGCGACTGAAGGCCCATGGTACTAAGGCTAAGGGGGATGGGTGGGGACGGGGCTGGTGACATAGTGTTGCTATAGCTTTCTGCGGTTTTCACGGCTAGGGCTGTGCTTGTGCTACTCAACTCCTGCTGCCAGTACCACGACCACAAGCACTTCTGGACAACTAGTTGCTTCTGCTGTTGCTACCGCTGCTACTACCACGAGCGTATCATGTTGTGTCTTCGTTGCACCGATAACAGGTCACAGCAGCTGTGGTGCAGTTGCCGGCTTTGGTCACTTTAGTCTTTGGGTGCGCAATCGGAGTTTGAGTATCATTGCCGGGCTGTGGGTTTTTCGGAAATCCTTCAACTTGGAGACTTGGAGCCGGAAGGCATGTCGGCGCCACGATGCCTCGCTCTGGTGCTGGATCTGGGAGTCCATAGCTTTCTCGGAGCTCAGGTCGCCTGGAGTCATGTGCAGCGTGGGGAGATGCTTGGCTCGGAGCTCAGGTAATGCGGTCTGTTGACAGCAAACTTTTAATTATATGCCTAGGCCTAGGCAAGCATTGAGTCTTTCAGCAAGTGCTATGTTGGAGGCCACCGAGCCCCGACTGTGCTAGCTTCGGCACTAGATGTTCTGGCAGGAATCTCCTGGGCGTACCCCCATTCCTCACGCTTCTACGCGGGAGTCTCAGAGTTTTGAGTTGACTTCAGTTATGACACCGATTCAGGCTTATGGCCATGACCCTGGCCAGACTTTTACTGTCTGTGACCCGCGAGTATGCCGAGTGTAATAACAGCTGGCCTTCTTCGTTTGGTCATGCTGGGCTTGTTGTCAAGCACATCCTCCGTAAAGACATGTTTTCGTGTGCAGCCCATGGGGTCTAGTGAAGTCTGAAGTGTAACCCAGTCAGCTACAGGCCGGCAGCAAGCAAAAGGTTGAAACGCATGCCCTAGGCTGGATTGAAGGCAACCCTGCGAAGTTTCGGGTTTGGCCAAGGTTGAAATCCGCACAAGGCAATATTGCAATGCCCCAGGCCGAAGTCCCGTCCTCAAGATCCCGTGCACACTCTCTAAGGCCTTGGCCATGCACCGCGTCTTCGGAGTCTCCGAGGTGCCATGGAGGAGCTGCTGCGACTCCTCGACTGCAATTTGGAAGCTTTGTTAGAATGCTCCACATCATAAGTGCACACACACAACATGCATGTATAGATGGGCCTTCAATGTCATGTTTGCGCCAGTAGGCACCGGCGAATGTTTGTTTCCGTTGAAGGTCCGTTTCATTCTGTTTGCTGCTTGACTTCGACCAGCCCAGCTGCAGACACAGCAAATCCAAAAGCGAGTCCACGTGCCGGAGTTGCGTTGGTGATGCACATGTCGCGACCAGTTCTGCGCAAGCTGTCCGATTAGTTCGACTCGACACTTTCTGAGGGACGGAGAAGCTGGATGCTTCTGCACTCCGACGGTCCTTTGATTGGGCGCGTCTGGCAAAGACAGAGCAACACTTCAGCCGCGCCTTGACGAGAAACGTAAACGGGAACTTGCAATTGAGCTTGGATCTTACGCTTCGTTTGTGCTCGCAGGTTCGGCAATTATGTGCATAAGTCATAAGTAGGCCAGGTGACCTCGTAGCAAGAATGTCTTGCGACTTCGGCCCCGTGTCGATGCCGACACGCTTTCCCATAACCTTGAGCCTTTGGCAGATGCATGTGAGGGAGGGAGACACAGAAAACTATGAAGATATATATATATATATAAAAATACATATATATATATATATATATATCTCTCTCTCTCTCTCTATCTCTCTCTCTCTCTCTTTCTATATATATATAAATATATATACACATAGAGAGAGCGAGCGAGAGAGAGGTACTTTCACCGGGTGAGGGGGGCTCGTTCTCCCTCTCCCCTAGCCCTGCTGAAAGAAAGGTACTTTCACACAACAAGTGGCTGTCAGACACGCGTGATAGGTTTGCACCTGGTCAGTCCTTGTAGCAGGGGGACATCAGTAACCTTCAAGTTTTGTCGTTCCTGTACTGTCAGAGGTTTTGATAATCGCAAACGTATATCTGACGTCCGTCAATACATGTTTCCTGGAGAATGTACGACCATCATGTCGTCGTTATCGCACTCTTTACGGCTGTAGCCTGGTTCATGATCTACATTCGCTACTCACTCCTCTTTACTTGATAAAATATCGAGCGGGCATGATTGACAGGCCCCTATGCCCGCGGGAGAGGGGGAGAGAGAGAGAGAGAGAGAGAGAGAGAGAGAGACGGAAAAGTCAGTTGTCTCGGCCTGGGCCTCAGAGGGTTTAGGGCTACTGCTTGGTTAGGGTTAGTGTGTGATCCTTTGTCTCTGACCGGGGGATGTACCAGAGAGAGCAAGGCCGAGGCCACAGCACGTTTGTATCTCATGCCTTTCACTGCAGGGAGCGAACGACAGGGGAACAACATTATTTGTCTTGCCGTGTCTTGCCTTGTTTAGGGGGAATCTCAGTGCTGCTGCATCACCCACATCCTTCCTAGAGTAACGAACCGAAAGAGAAACGCCCTCCACGCTAGTGTGCCCCAGAGACCAGCAGTTTGGTTTTCGTTTCTACTGTGGCGTTCAGGCTTCAAACTGCCTCTTTCCAGCTGGTCAGGGGGAACACAGCCAACTTAGTCAGGTGTCCTTGTACTGAGCACAGAAGGTCGGGGGACAAGTAACTGTTCTACTACAGTCGTTGTTTGACCTTCTTGCAGTGCCTCTATGATTTCAATCTTGTCCCGATCCGACCGAGAAAACCTTATCACAATCCCTTCAAAGCCCCATAACATATGGGGGGCCCATGTGGCCGAGGGACCTGACCCGTCCCTCATGCCCGGGGGAAGAAGAGAGAGAGAGAGAGAGAGAGAGAGAGAGCGAGCGTATGGTGGGGGGCGGGGGGGCGGCGGGGAGCGTCGGTCCGGTTCTCCAGAGGTACTACAGGTAGACTGAAGGCCCCGACCCGATGGGCTTGCCAAGACTTCCCTTAAGGCTGTTCGTTCTTTCCTCAATTGCTCTTCTAGATGCTGGCAGGACTGTCTTTGGACGAGCTGGCAGCAATCCGGCTTTGCTTGGATGCATCTCCAGACGGCGACCAGGCTTCACGTCGACTTTCCAAACGCATACTATGCAGGTACGAAGCTGGAGCAATCTAGTAAATCTAGTGCGACGCCCCACCGCCATAGACAACCTGGCTGTTCGTTGTGGATGCAGTCACGTACGTGCAATGCAGCTGCTGCAGCAGCAGCAGCAGCATTGGGCGCTGCAGCGTCCGGCAGAGCCCAAGCAATCGTCTACTCATATCGAGCAGGCACAGATCACATTGGAGTGGTGGCTGAACATGCTAAGATATGCTAAGCTGACAGTGCTGGCATGCTGCATGTCGACGGAGACCCCTCTTGACGAAGAAAGCAGGTCCACCGCTCCTTTCTCCAACTTTTTTTCTGGCGAATCTGGAGCTTTCGGCCACCTTCCGACTTGAAGCCAGTCGTGCCTCAGCTTGAGGTGAGACCACGCCGGCAGCCCTTCTCGCGCACCTCCAGGAAATTCGCGCCGTCCTGGGGTTGGAAGGGGGCCTAGCGAAGAACGCCCGTTTTGAAAACTGGTTTCGCTGCTACATTGCAAGACCTGGGCACAAGAAGGAAGCAGGCTTGGTTATGAAGACCTGGTTGTTTCAACAGATCGTCCATTTCACAATAAAGACACGTCTCGTCCTGTCTCTTGGTCGTTGCAGGAGAGCACTTGGTTCTCCGCCATGAACGAATTTCTTGCGTCCAGGCTCGTGACCTGAAGCAGTTGCCTGCGAATCGACCCGACAGCACGACAATTGTCCTGCGGTGAATTTTGGATCCAGGAGGGTGAGGCTGATCTTGAGCCTGAAAGATCCTGCGAAGATCCTGCACAGAGACATGCACCGACGGGCTTCGTAAGCAATGCGAGGCATCCTGCCAACGTCGGTGCGGCGGACAAGGCCGAAGGCCCTGCACGAGATGTTAGCCTGCTGCATGCTTCTGTGAGTTGTTTGCAAGATGTGTTTTGGGCGCTTGCCTTAATTTACTGAATTTGATATTACCGTCCGACCTGCGTAGTCAACTTCTCGTCGCATAGGTTTGGGTACATGCGGACTTGCGTGGTGATGGATTCTCTTGCGTTCAGTGTTACATGCATGGATATCAGACCGGACCGTTTTTGTGCATCGCTTTCGTGCCTCTCCTTCCTCTTTGTCCCTCTCTGAGTTTGCCCCTCTCCATCACGATTCGCTGCACATGTAGAACCCATGGACATCGACGTTCCGAACAGCCAGCTCTCCAAACGCAGAGGAACCCCCAGAAAGACCCACAAACGGTCTGCCGAAACTCTTGAAGTGTCAGCCAGGCACCGCCTCCACGTGGGAGGCCTCACTGCGACTGTCAGAGTGGCATTGTCTGGCGGGGGTTTCGTCAAAGAGCACATCCGACAGATCCGCGCGGAGTTGTTCAGATAAGTCTGTGCTGACAGGTATTGTGGGTTCTTGGGTTCGGAATGCGAGCAAGCACAATGGCTATTTATTACAAGAGCACTTGCAGGCTTCCCTCTCTTAAGTCGTGAACGTCCGCGAAGCCTGCATCAGTTTTGACACCCTTGCAACGTCCTCGCATGTCCTCACAGTCTGTTTGAGATGTCCTTCTTCATCCAAAGCGGTAACATGCGGAGACTTACTGCAAGAAACGCAACACCAAGATGCAGAATGCAATGCGCATGGCAGGTGTTGGTTTCTGATGTGGTGTCTGGTCTGACAGCCTTGCGCTTGCGAGAGAAGCATGAGGCCACTCACAGAGCGGGTGTTTCGCACCGGCTTCCAGAGTAGGTGCCGAGGTGTTGAAGACTATTTCCGATCCATGCATTGCGTCAAGCAGACCTCTGACTCCGCGAGAGAGAGAGAGAGGGAGACCGACGGGAGTAGCTGGTAACAATACCGGAGAAAACAAAGCCCCGAGCAGCGCACCCGAAGGTGGTGCATGGATGCTGCTACCGCCTGTGCTGGATCCCGCAGCAAAGCTTCGACGCACTTTTCGGTGGGCAACCTAGAACCACATGCCAGTCCACACATTTGCACAGGGCTTTGCCAGTTGTCGGTATCGCCAGCGATCCCCGCCCCGCCCGCCCGCCGCCCCCCATTCATCAGATCTTCAACAGCTTGCCGCTGTTAGAATCCGAAAGCCATCCAAAGCTGAAAAATCCCCTTACCATAGCTTGCAGACTCAGGCCGGTGCCTTTGAGCCGAGTGTTATCCATGAGCTGACGAGTAGACCCCACAAACACAGCTGTTCATGCATCCAGCCAACAGTTGTCTCTTTGATTGTCTTGGTGTATCGCAAAACCATGCAACTGTGCGATCTGTCTGTCCTGGGCCGCTTGGCCTTTTGACCGAGTCTCTCTGTTGACCCTGTCAGAGAAACAGCTTCGGTCATAGCCGGTCCGTTGTTGTAAGCCGAGGCTCTGACAACTGCGGACTCCCGGTTGCACTGTTCCTCCATGGGCAAATCCTTGCAAATTTCGGGTCGTGTTTGCAGGATGACGGCTTTCTCTGACACAGTTCCCGAGAGTACCTGCATTCTCCTTGCAACCCTTGCACGAGCTTTTGAGATGAATCCAGGAAATCCCCTAAAGCCGAAGACCGTAGTCCCTTTCACTGGTCAGACCGTCATCACGAACCGACAAATCCCTCTCGGCCGCTGCGAAGGCCGCTTGCTTTGCTTCACCGGCTTTCAACGAGCCCCTTGGGCATGGTCATCACCGGAGCGCTGTCGTCGAAGCTTTTCTAGGCAGAAGCTCAGCTAATCCTGTCTCTCCAACCTGGGCCGACGATGGTACTTCATGTTGGCGGATATTTGGATCGGTTCGCTTCCTTACCGCGACTCCAAGTCCCAAGCTCCAAACCCTTCTCCCAATGCTACTCGCACAAGCGATGACAGAGGTAGTTTCGACTCTAGCAAATCCAGTACGGTCCCGGCCCACGCCAGCAGTTGGTGCCCTCTTCTTTCGCGGCACCGCGAAATTCCCCGGTGGGTTCTTGAAACGGTGAGCGAGTGTGTGAGTCGAAAAGAAAAGGCGGAATCGGAAGCCAGTGGCCTCTGTTAGATGCTGCTTCTGTCCAGTCCCTGCGTTAGGGAATCGCTTGTGTAGAGGCAGGGTGTGGCTGTGAGTAGATTATCATCGCCCCTTAGCAGCATTACCCTTGGCCAAACTCTGAAGGCGAAGGCTCACGACCACACCGGGGGCTTGTCTTTGAAGGCAAAAAAGAAAGAGAGTCAGCACAGGCACAACGCTTGCGCAGAATTGCGATGAGATGTTGCTCTCGAACCTCGCTGTAGAGCTGGTGCTTTAGAGCAGAAGTGGCTCACGGAAGGCAGCGTTGTGCGACGTGGGTGAGACCCTCCACTCGTGCCCGAGAGGTGAAGGAGAAAAATGCCGCCGGAAAGTCTTGCACAAGCAAAGTCATCAACGAGACTCCTATACATGCTCGCGAAAAGTCCTTTGAACACTTTAAGTTTCCAACCGAACATGGTTACTTTGGATGTGCTGTGCGGAAGATAACTATGTCGCTTGCTCGAAATTAATCGAATCCGACTTAAAGTTGACCTGCTAATTATAACCCCCCCCTCAATAATAAAACCCCGTCCCCGGAACTCAATTATAAACCCTTCTCTATTATAAAACCCACCCCTGGAACTCAATAAAAAACCCTCCTCAATTGCGAAACCCGCTGCCGAAAACCAAAAAAAAAAGCTGGTGTCTACGTGTGTGATGTGTGAGAAGTAGCAGAGACACAGAAACTGTACCTACTACGACGGCTTGAGGTCTGCAGAGACACAGAAACTGTACCTACTACGACGGCTTGAGGTCTGCAGAGACAGAAAAACTGTAGCTACTACCAGGGCTTGAGGTCTGCAGAGAGAGGACCTGAAGCTTGGAAAAGGACAGCAAGCTTTAGAAGCCAAGCCTTTCATCGGGAAAGCTTTTGGCTTCCAAAGCCACAGGACTCCGAAACCGCAAATTTAGAGGGCTTCAGAAACCATACTTTCCTTAATAAATTCCTTATATATAAATTCCTTATTCGGAGCCAAAAATCAATCCAGCCTGATGGAGTACTAACCAAGGCCGCTCTTCTTAATTATAAACCCCCTCAATTATAAACCCCACCCGGGCCGGGCCTTTTGGTGGTGCCTTTAGAGGCCTGGAAAAGGACAGCTAGCTTTAGAAGCCAAGCCCTTCATTG